AACAACTGGTAACATCTGGTAACATCTGGTAACATCTGGCAACAAATGGTAACATCTGGTAACATCTGGTAACATCTGGCAACAAATGGTAACATCTGGTAACATCTGGTAACATTTGGTAACAACTGATAACATCTGGTAACATCTGGTAACAACTGGTAACATCTGGTAACATCTGGTAACATCTGGAGGACGGAGTCTTCCAGCCTCAGTATCCCGTTAGAAGGTTAACGGAGGAACGACTTCTGGCATCGAGGTTCCTGGAGGTCAGCAGGATCAAAACCAACCATTTCTTTTTCAGACGGTAAGATTAATCTTCACAATTTAAAGTAAATTTCAAAAATTAAAACACAACAGATTGTTATCAGATGTATATATTATTAGAAATCAAATACTGGAAGATTAGCTCAAACAAAGTCCTCTTCTCTATAAAAAAGATAAATGTAATCTATTTAGAAAAAAAGTAACTAAATTATAGATTAATAGGTCCATCATTTTTAATGCCATAAAAATTAGTATAATACTAAAGATCCTACCTACATTGCGTACATATACATACATACAGACATGATGAAAGGTAACTTTGCTTTGGGGGAGAGGAGAGACAATTCAGGTTTTTTCACCTGTGGATCAGAAGAGCAAAGGAACGTCAGGTTCTCTCTAAGCACTGAGAGGAAGGATGCAGGCGCCACCAGAAGGTATTTCATTTTACTGAGACCTTGGTATATAGAGTGGGATCTCACGTATTTCATCTCACATTTATTGGATTACAAAATAATACTTTTTAGAGGAATTTCCAAAGCCTAAATGACAAATGGCTCCTCTATTCTATTATTAGAATAAGTATAAAATGAGCAATGACTGCACTATAGATCACTATAGATCACTATAGATCACTATAGATCACTATAGATCACTGTAGATCACTGTAGTGCCTCAAAACTTGTAGCACACATAGATAACTTCATCTAGTTCATTCTACAACTATTACTTTGGGAAAATGTGCTAAACTCAATTTTTTAATATTTCTTCATTGTTATTCTAAGCAGGCCAGGTGTGCAATCTCTGCAACAGGAACCACAGCACTGAGCGTTGTGTTCACTGCACAAAGTATACCTGTCACAGATGCAGGAAGGACTCACCTTGGGTTTGTAGAAACTTCTAAATGGGACAATTGTAGCTTCATATGTAGTGCTTTTCTTTGGCTGAAATAAATGTTACTGCTATATGAAATCAGACTGTTTGTCATTCTCTAAGCTGAAATGTTGAATGACATGAAAAGGCGAGACAAGACAAAATACAATTATTTTCTATGTTTCTTTCACATAGTGAGCTTTGCAATATAAATGAGTCTGTTGGTGAATGGACAATATAAATAGGCTCTGCTTTGCCTTGTTGGTAAAGCTGGTTATGACCTGTTCTCAGCTCAGGAACTGGGACCCGTATGATATCTGGTTGTTCAATAGGTTTAAATAAAAGATTTAGATCTGACTTATCAAGCTATTCCTGCAGAACGGTCTGATGTTGCAGAGGAAGTTAATGAAAAGTGGAGCATGCTCTGGTTCTGATGCCAGTTTGTTTCAGCCTTTATCCAGTCTCCTGTAGAAGAGCTGGTCACATCACAGGTTATTAGCATTACAGCAAGGACTCTTAGCAAGGTAGAGTGAATACACTGGGGGGGGTGGGGGGTGTTGGGGCTTGCAGGAAAACTGGAATTCTCTGGGAATTCTAGTGTTAAATATGTAAACCGCAAATTATCTTTCTACAAGAAAAAAAACTCTGCAACTACCTTTTCCTATGTCAGAAAAAACTCATTTCAGGGAGACGCTTATCCCTCAACCCCCCGCCCCCCGGGGACCATGGCATCGTGCCCCATACATATACCCCATTTACACGACTCTTGAAAAACCGATCCATGCCGAGACCGGTCCGAGCTCGGTTCTGACGACCGTTTACACATCACGCTATTTCGGTTCCTCGACTCCTCGCCTCCTAGTGACGATCTGCGGTATTACTGCCAGTATTGAAGGAGGAAATCAAGCAGTTGGTGGCGGTAACGCACCAAAAGTTGTTTGCCAACCGCCGTAAAACACAAGAAGAAGAAGAAGGATGGAATCAAG